GAATCCCACCTGACCCAACATAGAACTCAGGGTTGTAGAATATTACATATGCTATGTTCCTATTTATATGCATATTGGGAATGGATGTCTAATGGGTTAAATAGAACTAATGGTAATTTGCTATGCTGTACCAGGAGAAGTTTGGAATGTTGGTGTATAACGAGAGGGTCAAGGGTCTTTATATGTGTCCTTATATAGCCAGAGTTTAAACGTTCTAACGTCATAATAGTCATGTCTATAATAGAACAGTAGAGAAAGGAACATTCACCTGACTATCTGGACAAAGACTCTCCATCAAAGATCTCTGTATCTGTAACATTAGTTACGCTGTACCATCTGTTGAGTTTTGTGTATGTATTGCTTTTTACATTTGGAGTAGAATAAATATATATATATTTTTAAAGAGAAAATAGGACTAATGGGTTGCAGATTATAAACAATCTGCCTCCCAAAAAGACCTTGTATCCTTATGTGAAAAAAGCTACTCTGCAATTATAAATATAAAAGTGGAGCGCAGAGAGCAAAAAACGAAAAACTCTTTATTAATCCCTCTTGGGGGAGAAACACACAGATACTAAACAAACAAGTAATAAAATTAGGATCTAATTGGATAGAATCGACTAGTCCAAAAATAATAGTAATATGGTCAGAAGAAATGCTATAAGTATGTGTGTGGCAGAATTGCCATAAATAGTAGCAAATAAATATGACCAAAAGGGGGGAGATACATTAAATGTAGCAAACTGAAGATCTCTAAATGCAAAAGTAAATAGACTCTATAATTAGAACAAAGAGTATATCAAGTGCATAAAAAATATATGTGCAAAGATCTACCAAAATACGTTTGCAACATTGCAGGAAAAGAGCCTGCAGTCTAAATAGCCAGTAATATAAATGTTAAACGAACTGCCTAAACAGCTGTAGGAGATTTTGGTTCATGGAATATTGTCGTTCGTGTGGCGCAATTTGTCCCATAGGAATGAATGGCAAAGCTAGAGTGGGAGCTGGCAAAAGCTGAAAAATCAGGACATGATTTCTAAACTGCCACCACTTATTTTCAGGCCCACCTACACAAATCTTATATCAAAACGTTCAGCTATCCCTGCTGCCACTAAACATGTCAACGGCTAAGCCATAGTCCTGATAGTTTTCACAATATGATCATTTGTTTGCAACTAACGCCGTCCATTGACATTCATTGAAACTTCACTCTACAAAGCTCAAATTTGAAGTGCAATTTCTAAACTGCGACTGTGTCTTCAATTTTAATACTTCAGAGACATACTATGCATCAAAATGTAGGTCTGGGTCTTGTGATTCTCACAATATAAAGCTCTTCGCTGTAGGATTTATAGTTTTTAAAATACGACCGTTTGAAGATGGCAACTGCCAAAATACTCTGACCTGTGGCAGGCTGCAGCACAAGTGATGTCATAGACAGGGCCTTTTGAACACCTGCTAATGTTTTTATAAATGTATGGTTTAATGTAACTGTGCAACAACGTTGCAATTAAATGTGCTCTATAAATGATAACAGTTACTCCGCCCACTCCAGTTGTAGACTACCGGTGGAGGCAAGAACACTTCACACAATTTCCCCAGAAATTGTAGCTTTTCTAGTTTATTTATAAAATATTTTACCAGGAAAGATATAATCAGGGTTATTCAGTAAACTACACATTTTAGATAATAAGTTGAATAAATGGCCACTATACTCACCAGAACAGCTACAGCTTATTGTATTTGTTCTGGTGAGTAGAATCATTCCCTTTAGGCTTTTTGCAGTAAACAATGTATTTTACAATACAGCTTAGGGATACCTCCACTGGCCACTCCTCTGATGGCTGCTAGAGGTGCTCCATGGGGCAGTGCTACCATTTAGTGTCTCCACCCTCTGCATGGAGATAGTGAATTTTCCTGATAGAGATGCATTGATTCAATGCACATCTATGAGGAGATGCTGATTGGCAAGGGCTGTGTTTGACCTGTGCTGGCTCTGCCCTGATCTGTCTCCTTGACAGTCTCAGCCAATTCTGTGTGAAAACATTGTGATTGGCTCAAAGAATCACTTCTGATGATGTCAGCTAAGCAGGCAGATCAGGGGTAGGGGCAGAGACAGCAGCTGCAGACTTGCATACAAAAAGATTTTACTACATTTAGGTAGGCAAAGGGTGCCAGGGGAGGCTAGATAGTGGTTTTAACACTATAGTGTCAGGAATAAAATTTTCTGTTCCACCATGTTTTCCAGGACACGTATGATTTATACAAATTGATGGGTATCATACAGATAGTCCTGCCCTGCAGTATGTAGCAGTTATATGCTACAGGTAGTAAATCAGGTAATACATTCTGCAGTGTATACATTATCCATAATACAGGGCAGCATTATCATCTGCTGCCAATTGACATGATGACATTATGTGATCCTCCTCTCTCGCTCTCCCTTCAACTCAGTGATATCCACATAAGTCCATCCCTGTAAGCGCGATGTCTTGGCGTCATACTTGACTCTGGTCTCACCTTTGAGCCTCACATCCAGTTTGTTGCCAAGTCCTGTAGGTTCCAACTCAAAAACATAGCCCGCATTCGCCCCTTTCTTATGCAAGATGCTACCAAGGAGCTTGTCCATGCTCTAGTAATTTCCCGCATGGATTACTGTAACCCTCTCCTGATTGGTCTCCCCAAAAGCCGTATTGCCCCGCTACAGTCTGTCATGAATGCTGCAGCTAGACTGATCTTCCTCTCTAGTCGGTCCTCTCACACCTCACCCCTCTGCCGGTCCTTACATTGGCTCCCTGTATGCTATAGGAGTCAATTCAAAGTGCTAACCCACACATTTAAAGCACTGAACAATTCTAGCCCCACTTATATCTCTTCACTAATCCATAGATATGCCCCTCCTCGTACCCTCCGCTCTGCCCGTGACCACCTCCTGACCGCTGCTCGCACCCGTACGGCCAACTCGCGCTTGCAGGACCTCTCGCGGGTGGCTCCTCTCCTATGGAATAGCTTGCCTACTGCCATCAGACTCTCCCCTAGTCTTCAATCATTTAAGAAGGGCCTTAAAACCCATCTCTTCAGGAAAGCTTATGGCCTCCCAGAGTAATCTCTACCTTACATACCTGTCTCCTGCTCTCTCCTATGGGACAGTGCTTTGCTCTCTTCTCCAGTTCTGCTTCACTCCTACTTGATATTTCTTGTCCTAATGTTTCTAATACCCCACCTCCTATAGTCTGTAAGCTCGTTTGAGCAGGGTCCTCTTCAACCTATTGTTCCTGTAAGTTTTCTTGTAATTGTCCTATTTATTGTTACATCCCCCCTCTCAAAATATTGTAAAGCGCTACGGAATCTGTTGGCGCTATATAAATGATAATAATAATAATAATAATAATGTGTGTCCAAGAAAGCATGGCCGATATAAAAACCCTAACTAATTTTGGTACAAAGTGCTAAATGCGGAAATATATTCTAATGGTTTCCAAGGTGACTTATAAAGTACTTTGTCCCAGATTAGCACCTGTTTTGCCTTGATAAACCTCCCCCCATTGCCAATTGGCAAAGCTGAGGCTGTAATAGATGATTTGGAAAAATACTTAATCTCAGCTGTATTAACAGCTTGGTTATTTTATCCTAAAATTTGCAATTTAGTTTTCAATTCACTCAAATCAGAGTTTAAAGGACCACTGTATGCACCCATACCACTTCATCTTAACTAAGTTGTCTGTCTGGTTGCAGTGGTCCTGTCATTTTGCCCCTTATAATGTAAAACATTGCGGTTTTACAGCTCTGCAATGTTTGCATTGCTGGGTTAAACACCCCTTTAGTGGCTGTCTTGCTGAGAGGCACTTCCACTGCACTGACCAATTAAAACCCAGTTATGTGACATGGCAGCTCATAGGGAAGCATTGAATTCAATGCTTCCCTATGACTAGCAATGGATGTGAGTGGTACTCGTTTCACATGTGCATATGGTTCCCACTATGAGGAGACCATCGCTGGAGGAGTCCATGCTTCCCCGATTACGTTGCAGAAGACGGGGAGGCAAGCGAAGCTGAGCAATGCTTGTGCGCTGGAAAAAGGTGAAACCTTTAATTTCTTTAAATTGGAAAAGGACAGGGACACTATACGGTTAGGAATACAGGTTTGAATTCCTAGTGCTATTGTGTAACTTTTATGGCTAACCCTGTGTTTTGCAATTTGGGTTTTATACACCAAAATTCACAGTTAAGTGAATAAAACTGCTTCTGTACAACTTATGTAGTGTGTGTAGCTAAAATATATAGTTGAAGAAAAGCGAATTTTTTTTTTCCCCAAACATATTGCGCAATATGGCATACATTAAAGGATCACTATATAATCCTGGAGGGAGCCTCACCCTCAGGGTCCCCCTCCCGCCTTACTTAACTTAATTCGGCGCTGGAGACCTCTCCTCCCCCACCAGCGTCAGCTCCGGAGTGGAGCAGAATGCGCATGCACAGCAAGAGCCGTGCGCGCATTACTACAGTCCATAGGAAAGCATTTCTCAATGCTTTCCTATGGACGTTCTGCATGCTGTATGCGAATTCCGCTTCCAGCGTCGCAGAAGCACCTTTATCAGCTGTCAGGAAGACAGCCACTAGAGGCTGGATTAACCCTGCTATGTACACGTAGCAGTTTCGCTGAATCTGCTATATTTACATGTGAAGGGTTAAAACCTGGGGGACCTGGCACCCAGACCATTTCATTGAGCGGTCTGGGTGACTATAATGTCCCTTTAAAGTGTGATTTTTTTTTTTGATTTTTTTTTTGTGGGGGTAATTTCCAAAGTGGCATACATAAGTTTCTGCCAGTTAGGCTATTTTGCCCTAAACTGTGAACACATAAATAGGAATTATTAATCTGGGATTATGACATATGTCGATTATATACTAGTTCTATGCGAGTACACACACAGTCAGATATGGCAATGGGAGATATACTAGTTCCGCTGGAACTGTGAGCGCTGTTCCCTTGTTTCCGGGGGGAGCGTCACTTAGAACGAACCCGGCGCTGTCATGGCTGCCTGACAACTGCACGGTGCAGCCAAAGTGTAAGCGGCCTGACCACAGCAGCGGTGCCGTAAGGTGCAGACTTTTGCTGGAGCTACGAGCCTGGGCGTTAGTACAGAAAGAGTTTCGGGCTTAGTTCTTGGGTGTAGTTTTGCCGAAGGTGTTAGGCGTGAGGCCGGGGGAGAGCGGGCAGGGCCCGGCTTTTACTGTCTAGGACATGGGGAGGGAACCCTGAGCTGGAGCTGGAATACCGTGGGCCCGGACAGGTGGAGGGGGCTTAGAGGTGACTCGTGGGAATCTATGGAGAGGGCTTGTCTTCTGTGTCCCTTACTGAGCTAGCTCTCAGTTATCCTCCATCAAAGTCTGGCAGGCATACAGGAAGGCAGAACGAGCAGACAGTTTAGATGTGGGAGCAGTCTGGACCATGCCATCATCTTATGTCAGTGATGGGTAACTTTTAGCACCCCCTCCTCGGTTGTGGGGTACAGTTCTCAATCTTTTATGCTCGGTTAGCCAGTGGCCTAGCTGAGCACTAAAGGAATTGTAGCCTACAACATCAACGGTTAGTCATCATTGATTAAATATTAATGCGATCGTGTTTACCATTAACAGGAATAAAATAAAGGATTATTCTGTGAACTCAATGCACTATGATTTTAATCCGTGTAATCGAGATATAGACATTGTGTCCAATTAAACTTGAGTTTATATTTTTCTTATACTCCCTCTACATTGCCCCAAATATTGTTAACATTCAGCTTTTGTCTTGTTTTTTGTTTTTGTTTTCTTCAATTTTTTTTTTGTTTATGTAAATCTACTAAGTTTGAAATATGACTGTGAAAGTCTTCAGCTCGTTGTATGTGGATTTTCAGTATATTAATCCCCTTGCAAATAATGCTAGTGTTAGAAAACCTAGCATATTAGTGCTATTTTGTGAAATGGTTTGAGTGGTTCTGTGCTTTTCTCTTGACAGATCTTAAATTATAAATCTAGTATGGCAGGAGAACAGAAGCCATCCAGTAGCCTCCTGGAGCAGTTTATTTTACTAGCCAAGGGCACAAAAGGATCAGCACTTCCAGCACTTATAAACCAAGTATTAGAAGCTCCTGGTGTTTATGTATTTGGAGAACTTTTAGATTTACCTACAGTGCAAGAGGTAAGAAATGACTGCGGTAATAAACAAGTAATTGATCATGAATTTGTGTCCATGTAATGCAAAAATAAAAGTTGTTTGAGTTTGTTTCAATACAAGGTAACAAAACTGGGGAAGAAACACCTAGCAAGTATTATTTTATGTACTAAAAAGTTAATGTTAATAACGCCTGTATCAATCTGCTAAAATTGGTAACAAAAAGTAATTTTATTTTAATGTGTGAAATTGGATTACAGTGTAATCTTCTCAATTGCTGTCCGTTCCTTATATCTATTTGTATTCCTTACTGCAAGGTAGTCCCTGTGTCTTATGTGCCTTGACCAGTGAACAAATCATTTGTGGGCTGATTGGATGAGGCTGCCATGCAGCTAGTAATGTTAATTATTAAATTGTGTTATTATTTATTCTACTAACGTTAAAATATCAATGTATGGATGTATTTATTTACTATGAGTTATAGCACTTTAATCCAAATCTAGAATCAACATCGCCATGAAAAACTATTTAATCCTCATAGACCCATAGCTTCTACCACCACCCATCAGTCACAGTGCAGTGTGGAATATATGTGTGTGTGTGTGTGTGTGTATATGTATGTGTGTGTGTGTATATATATGTGTGTGTGTGTGTGTGTGTGTGTGTATGTATGTGTGT